TGAGGTGAAATCGAACCTAAAGAAACTCATAAATATTAGGTTGTCAAAAAAGTCTTGCGGTATATTAGCTAGTTAGCGGGTCATGCTATACCTTCTTAGAAAGCTCATTCCACGCACTAACACGTGTTTGATTGATTGTCGTTTCTTTTAAGTCGTTCGTGAGTTATAGCGTCGCAAACGTGGAGCAAAATAAAGAGAAAATACGGCATATTTTACAGTACTACTACGATAAAGGGAAAAGAGCATCTCAAGCCGCCAATAAAATTTGTGCAGTTTATGGACCCGATACAGTTTCCGGTCCCACCGCACGACGATGGTTTCAACGTTTTCGTTCTGGCGTAGAGGTGGTCGAAGATGCGCCACGCTCCGNAAGATGCGCCACGCTCCGGAAGGCCTGTCGTCGAAAATTGCGATAAAATCGCTGAATTGGTCGAAAGAGACCGGCATAGTAGCAGCCGTAGCATCGATCAAGCCTTAGCCCTCAACGCAGATAAAACTGAAATTACTTTATTTACAAGGAGGTATAATATCCAAGAGCTGCTTCTCCCCTCATTCGAAGGCTCACGTCTTCAACCTCTATAAAAGTTTAATACCTAGGACTGCTAGTTGATAAACACACTTTACGAGATCTAAATACTGAGCAGCGAGTAAGAAATTAGATTGATGTGTTGGAGCTATAGAGAAAAGTTGGGAAATCTCATCAAAGGTGATGTTTTGGCTCTATGAAACCGTGGTCAAGCCAAAATATTATACGGCCAACTTATCTGGTACAAGGAAAGATCACGTTGTAGCTTCTTAGCAGTCAGAAAAATCGCAGCCGTCGACAATGCCAGCAGGTCCATTGTTGCGAAGTGCGCTTTGAACCCAGGGAAGCTGAGCTTATGAAAGGAGAAGAGGCGCAGTAAGCGGCTACCACACCACTATATTGTTTTCCAGTACAGAAATCGCTGCTATTAAAGCGGCGATAATGTGAAGTACAGCCTCTTTCCGAAAGGTGACTGCTAGAAATGGCATCAAACCACTTCATCATCAGGCTAGTTTAGGTGACTGCTTATAGTGGGACCACTGACAAATGCAAAGTCGACTACAAGCCAGTAGGGTTCCCTCGCCACAATCACATTAGAACAAACGGACGTGGATATCTATTGATATCTTGCGTTATAGTACTAGATCAATGAACCTGGCGTGCGTTTAGACAACCTACTCCTGTGCGACAACAAGAGCTCCTTCGCTTAGCAAACCTCATCTTTTAGAAATCGTAGTTCTTCCTAGGCATTATCCAAAGGCAAAGACTCATGCAGTAAGGGCTAAAAATTTGACAAACAGATCTATTGATATCTTGCGTTATAGTACTAGATCAATGAACCTGGCGTGCGTTTAGACAACCTACTCCTGTGCGACAACCTAAGCGAAGGAGAGCAAACCTCATCTTTTAGAAATCGTAGTTCTTCCTAGGCATTATCCAAAGGCAAAGACTCATGCAGTAAGGGCTAAAAATTTGACAAACGCAAGTTCCCAAAGTTGAAATAGAGGACAAAGTGTAAACGTTCAAGCACCTTCTCCTTTATTGTTCAGCCTTTGCAAGTCTGAGTTGCATCTCGGCAGGCTTACCTTCAGCGAACCTAGAGACATAGCCGAAATTGACATTAGCCGTCTGAACAAGTTTGTGATAGGCACAAGCGCTTTGTCGATTTGTGAGAGTCTTATGAGCTATTATATAGGAGTTTTAGATAACACAACGGCACGGTGTTCTAAGCTGGGAGATCCCTCTTAAGATAGACCTCATCTAACCCTAACATAACATCATTCAAGCAATTGCTTTGTTCAAATAACCCAATAATACTCAATACATTCAAGTACACTATCACAGTGGCTAAGAATATAAAACTTTCTCAGTTTCGACTTTACAACTTTTTAATTGGACTGATTTTGTTTTCTAATTTAAGTTTTTCTGTTTTGTATCTTCAGTTCGAATGAATTTTGTTTCTTTTTTGTATCTCTCGAGTGCATTGAAGTGTTTTGTGCATAGCGTAAAATTGTTCTCTCATGAGTAGTCGTGATTAAATTCTATTACTGGTTATTGAAATTGGCTACTAACCGGCAGTTCGACCGTCTTAAACCAGTGTACTACTTACTCTTTAGTACTATGCCGATATTTTGCTACACTTCTTTGTAACAGGTGTCAGGTTTTTTGCTGATTAGTTGTCAATTTTGTCGCCAATTAGCTAAATATCTAAGTACTTTATTTAAATACACTGAAATTCTTATATAATTATAAACTAGAATATGCTTATGAGCATACTAATTATATTGCATAACTTAATATAATCAACACGAAAGTAAATATTTTGCTCACTCAATCTCGATCTCGATCTGTTATCACACGACACCGTCAATAAAAATTCGCTGAGCTGTAAAACAAAATGGAAAAAAGTACGAGCAAACTACAAATTTATAACAAATAGCTACAAATGTGACAAAAAGATGTATGCAAATAATAAATAGGGATTTGCTTGCAGTTTTCTATTTTCTGAAATCGCTCTGTCAATACGTAATTCATGGTTTATTGCTAAACCCGAGTGTGGTGAGAATTGTTTAGTGAAATATTGACGTAAATGACATGGCGAGCCCCGGCATAAAAACATGTGCAGCTCGTTGACGTGCCGCTGAGCGCTGAGCCATTTGATAGCATCTGATATAATACAAAAATAAAATATCAGCCGATAAAAATATGGTTCAGTTAAGCGACGGCGACGGCGATCGTGTCTGGAGTCCCGTGATAACAAAATTTAATAATAACAATTGCACGAGTACATTTGTGRAGCGCAGAAAGTAAAACACGTGTCGTAGATATCAGCTAGTGCCACTTTGTGTATTAAGATTTGTGCTTAGTAACAACAGTACAAATTAGACTTATTATGGTTAAACAAAAATTAAGTTTTGGTTCACATTTTCCTTGTTCTCTCTTTGTCTGCGGACTCCTGCTTGATGCTGTAGACGGTTGAGTCAGCTAAATGTGACCCTGAGGTGTTATTATATATCTTACCTTTGGCAATCACACCTTTTCTCCCGCATTGAAGAGCTTTTGGTATACATTTACTTCTTAGAATCATTAGTTTCACTTTTTGTCATAGTGAAAAGCTTTGGAGTACATTTAACTCTAGGATCTCTGTCTTCTGACAGGAAGATGAATGGAAATCGGATATTGTGCGACATTAACGAATTTGCTAAAGTTTGTGTAGGGTCTCTGCTCTCTTTGGAGTGGGTGATAATCTGAACTAATTCAGAGTTTACAATTTACAAAAATTTTCATAATAGGCAATATTTCTTCCCATTTCTAAAGTCATTCTGGACTCTCCAGCGAAGCGAAGTACTTTCCTTATATTGTTTTTTTTTTTTATTTTTTTTTATTTTTTTTTATTTTTTTTCTTTTTTTTTTGAAAGAACTTTTCTTGATCTGAGTCGAATCGACTCTCCTTTTGTAATAAAGTCTTCAGTATGGCCTAAAAATCTTTCGCTGGTTCGTTATCTAGAACATCTGGACTTTTTCTCTTTGCGAAGACCCACTTTCATTGCTATTTTTCCACTCCACTGCTATGCACACATCCACAGTTTTATAGAATCAGCTCGCTTGCCGATTTAGCAGAACGTTTCTGCTGTTCCCATACAACACTTGCTACCGATGGAGGTCTATCGCTACTGTTGACTGGTATACCCTCCTTAGTCGTTAACTGAGCTTTCAAAATTAAAGTTTTTTCGCTGGCTTTCGTTCAGAACGATTCCGTCGGCCCAGACGTGACCCACTCAAAACACTATCTGATTTCAATGTCATTTTGGAACTAATTCCATTCACCCCCGGTTTGTTTATTGTAGATTTTATTATTTATGTCTATTGGGTATCCACACAGAGCCCCTATCCAATTTGCGGAAAGTGTTGGGTGCCGTTACCATAAAGAAAGCATTCTAAGCAAGAGTCCGGGTCCCGGAACCGGTTATTTAGACCCGACTATATTGGGAACGGTTGCGGAAAGAGTCGTATTTATTGGTCTGTTAAGAAACCAAAGAGAGGGTTGACGCTGGCTTTTATGGGGCAATGCATTCAGAGCCGACCAACGCAAAGAGTGAGTACTCTCAACCTACAACTACCACATCAGTTAAGAGGAACGTTTTGCACAGGTCTCGAATTTTACGTATCGGAGGCATTAACACACCAGCCATTTATACAAAGTATCCGTCCCACATGCTCATGGCACAGAATTCCTTGACCACAAACTCTYCTAAAATCAAAGTCCGAGTTGGATCCAAAATTAAGATTCATTAGGAGTTTTTACTGGCCTTAAAGATCGTAGGTCAGATAGGTAGAGGACCGATCCATAATTTACATGAAGTAAGCTTAACAGAAGACGTCGCCTTAAATTGAAGAACTCAGTGCCATTTCTTCAAGGTTTGACAAGTAATCAGAAGGCTGCGTTTAAAAGCGAAATTTGCTGTAAAAGATGATTTACCAATATATTCAAATTGTTTTTCGCTACTATGGCCTCATATAAAAACAAAAAACCTTCAATAATTGCCTTCACTTTACCCTCACACATTTCTGCAAAACTGAAGGTGCTTTTTATCTTTGTGCGTTTATCTTAAACCGGCTTGTTCCTTACACAATCATTGTAACTTGCTAATCGACTGGAAGAGGCATATAACCTTTAGCATACGTTGGCCCTGACTATACGCATGCGCAAACAAGACAAAAACTGCGCAAAAAAATTCCAAAAATCTCGTGTCGGCATTTCGCGTGAATTGCTTAATTCAATAAATGGGCAGGATACTCGAGCGCAATTTCGCAGTTTACTGGTTATTGAATGTGTACTTACTATACTATATACATATATACATTATATATTCTCACAATCATRCATACCTAAAAACATATGTATGTATATGAGCTTCACTTAAATAAATATATCATATTAAAAATCAGTTTACATTACTCATTTGTTTGACAGATTAATGCGACAGACACGCCGAGCAGACGCTTAGTAGAGTTGACGAAGAAAGGTAAACAAAACAATCAACAGCAGCATCAACGGCAGCAATAGTAGCAGCTGGCTACTAGATATAACCAGTGACTTCGTCGGCATTCGTTGACACTCCAGTCACAGCGATAGCGAAACTAACAACGCTCCCACAGGCCACCTGCTTACAACAACGCATCACAGTAGCGGTGACAGTAGGCACAAAAAGTCAACCGACAATCAGCAGCTTGACGTGCAATAAACTTACTCACACACATACACACACGCTGATCCAACTACCAACCAACTACCGGCTTATCTGCTACCTACTAACGTACACACACACATATGAACGTAACGACGTGAGTGTTTGCATACACTATTTTACACATACAACCATTTATGCCTACTAAGAGCAGACGCTCAGCCGTTTGTATTGCAGATTTGTGCCTTTTTTCCAACTGACTTGAAAAACTCGACGGCAGTGCGCGAACTTATCAGAACGTTGCCAGACGCGCAACGCGAAACAACGGTGTGTAAAAAAGCAGTTAAGTGAACGAAGGCGAAAAGCGACGGCGCGTAGCAGTAAACACGACAAGTCGTCGTTGTTAAAAACGTTGTGAGCGGCAATTTTAAGAGAAATACAACAAAAAAAGACTTTCCATTTTTTGCACAAAAAATTGCGAAAGTCACAAAATTTCGCACGGTTTTTCAAAACCTAAGCTTGTTCTTCGTTTTTGCAAGTCAACGAAACCAAGTATTTTTGCATTTTATTTTGCATATATGAAAGGAAAATGTTTTAAAAAATATATATATGAAAGTTCAAGAGAAACCTAAAAACTAAAAGAAATAATTTTTTAATTTAAAAATATATTGAAACAACAAACCGCGCTACCTCCAAACGCCATAAGCTAATAGCAAACGCAACATTACTAAAAAGTGCAGTATTTTTATATAATAACAGTAAATACAACAACAAATAAAATTACAATTAAATCGCATAATCAACCGCAAGCCAAGCCAGTATTAGTTTGTTACGAAACAGTTGAACCAACAATAAAAACAGCAACAAAACGCTAAAAAGGCCGTGAAGTATACAAAACGTTAGAAAAACAACAACAAATACACAAATTCAGCAAAATGTCCGCATCCAAGGAGCAAATATGCGCCAGTCAGGACAACGACTTGGACAAGCCGAAAGGTGAGTGTTGAAATCATTAGAAATTTTTTTCATAAAAATTAATTTAAAAAATTAAATTAGTTGTTTAAATAAAATTAATTGATTAATAAAATTGA